TGAAAGTTATCACGAAATAACGTGAAACTTATTACGAAATAATGTGAAACTTATCACGAAATAACGTGAAACTTATTACGAAATAATGTGAAACTTATCACGAAATAACGTGAAACTTATCACAAAATAACGTGAAACTTATCACGAAATAACGTGATAAGTTTCACGTTATTATGAAATAACGTGAAAGTTATGACGAAATAACGTGAAACTTATCACGTAATAACGTGAAAGTTATCACGAAATAACGTGAAACTTATTACGAAATAATGTGAAACTTATCACGAAATAACGTGAAACTTATCACAAAATAACGTGAACCTTTTCACGTAATAACGTGATACTGAGCCAATTTTCTTTTCTCAGTGTGGCAGCAATACGCTTCCGTAGTATCCACTTAATCTAACCTGCATGTTTCAGGTCTGTGTGTGGTACCTTTGAAGGACATACAAATTCCAGACAGAAAGACCATTATAAACATCTGCTTTCTTTCCTTGATATATTTAATCCCATTAGAAGCAAATGGGAAACACCTTCCTTCTTTAATTCAACCTTTTCCTTTCCTTCTTCTACTGGTTTCCCCTCAACGCTTCAGGGTTTGGATCCAAAGAATCCCTGCTGAGGGCTTAAAAAACATGCACAAACCAACATTTTATCCTTAGCCCTGTAAAGCCCAACCTATTAAATAATTGACAAAAAATTCAAATTCTTTGAACTTGGACCCTTTATTGGTCCCCCTGAACAAACAAACCAAAAAAATTAAAATATAATTTTCCATATATGAGTTTCAATTTGTATCATATTTGATACATCGGGTCACAATGGTCAAATATTCTTTTTTTCTGAACAAAAAACATAATAAAACACAAACAAATGTAACAAATTTGTAATTCCAAACATAAAAAGTGCTACCATAAGGGAGTAATGAGAAATCCACAAATGGAACTGGCTGGGTGGAAGTCTGGAAAACATATATATATTTATATTATATATATATATATTATTTATATATATATTATATATTTATTACAATCTATTAATATATAATATGATACAACAAGTTACATATCTAGTTTTTTACTCTAAATGTACCAAATTATGTTTTTAAAAATAAAAAGACTGTTGCTTGATGTTATATAATGCATGAAATACAATAACATGACAATTGACTGATTTAGAGTCACATATATATATATATTTATATTATATTTTTATATATATAATATATGTATATATATTATATCTTCTTTATTCAGCTTGTCCCTTTTTCAGGGGTTGCCACAGCGAATCATTGTTTTCCATTTCACCCTGGTCTCTGCATCTTCTACTCTGACTCCAACTATCTGCATGTCCTCCCTCACTGCATCCATAAATCTCCTCTTTGGCCTTCTTCTCCATCCCTAGCATTTTTCTACCAATGTATCCACTGTCCCTCCTCCACACATGTCCAAACCATCTCAATCTGGCTTCTCAGGCTTTTTTTCCCCAAACCTTCCTGTCTGTGTTGTCCCTCTAATGACCTCGTTCCTGATCCTGTCCATTCTTGTCACTCCTAAAGAGAATCTTAGCATTTTTACCTCTTTAACTTAGGCACTTCCAGCTCCGCCTCCTGTCTTCTGCCTATTGCTATTGTCTCTAAACCATACATCATGGCTGGTCTCACCACCATCCTGTAAACCTTTCCCTTCACCTTAACTGACACTCTTCTATCACAGATCACTCCTGACACTTCTCCAGCTGTTGCATCCTGCCTGCACTCTATTCTTCACCTCTCTTCCACAGTCTCCTCTGCTCTGAACAGTTGATCCAAAGTACCTAAACTCCTGCACCTTCACCACCTCTGCTCCTTGTAACTTCACTATTTCACTGTTCTCCCTTTCGTTTACACATGTACTCTGTCTTGCTGCGGCTGACCTTCATTCCTCTTCTTTCTAGTGCAAACCTCCACCTCTCTAGGTTCTCTTCTAGCTGCGGCCTACTCTCACTACAGATCACAATGTCATCTGCAAACAACATAATCCATGGGGACTCCTTTCTGACCTTATCTGTCAATCTGTCCATCACCACAGCAAACAAGAAGGGGCTCAGGGCCGATCCTTGATGT